GTAGAGTTGAAAGAAAAAGATGCAGCCCTAGAAGGTAGAACAAAAATAGGCGCTAGGAGTAACGCCTCAGCGGTTGAACAGAAAAGTAACCTTTATTTGTCACTTTGATACGTTGTAACTCTGTGCTGACGATGGCGCTCCTGACTGACGATGTTGGCGAAACGTTTTCGAATGTACCAATTCAATGTTCCGATGCTTGAAATCGCCTATACTATCGCAAAGGACAGAGTACTAGATACATTCCACAAGGTCTCCCTGACGCTCCGGTCAGGTTGGGAAAACGAGGTCGATGCAACACTATTTAAGTTTAAAGAGACTGCAACCAAACGGAAGGCCACACCATCCTTGTATTCATATCTACAATAACAATTTCTAGTTTCGTACCGTGGACCTTGCGCTTTGCCAGATTTGCCTATCCTGGAACCTGGTGAAAGGCTTTTGTAAGCACCCACGTTTCCAAACAATGGCGTCTTATTAACGAACAAAAATTCTATCCCAATTATTTTTCGTTTATAAACACAGTCTCGAGACTAGCAGTAAATCAGTAATATGAGATGCATTCACCCTATTTCGTGTAAGCTGATGAAAGACTGGTAGTTGAATTTTCCCACAATCATATGAGATGATCTGGCGTTTCCATTGGATTTCGCATAGCCTTGCTCCCCCAAAAGGTGTTCGTATCCCAACTTGCCGCCAATTGGCATGACTGTATCCGAGGCTTTGGCAAAGACCGGGTGAATTGCATCAAGTATGTCCGGGAACTTGTCAGATTAAGGAAGTTGGTCAGCTTAAGTGGGTTTAGATGATGAAAGTCTATTAAATGGATAGAAGTCCTCGGACGCTTAATTGCGAAAACCGCCGAAAATTACCATCTTTCCCGTCGAACTTAACTAATAATGGTCAATTTTCGTTTGGGTATGTTAAGGTAAGATTAATTGAAGTTTTGCTTATAAAAACTTACAAGATGTTCTTCTATGCACGCAAAGCCTCCAAGAGTTGGAGGCACAATTGGGCTATACGATGATAGATAAATGGGAACTGTACTGCCTCACTGATAACGACTACACCCAGAAGAAAGAACAGATACCAAGGTTGCCAAGGCAACAGAGAGGAACGACAATGAAAAGATAGGAAAGGTAGGGAAGAAGAACGACTCACCAGGTTGTATGTGTAGTTGAAGCCAAGCAGTTGGATGGGCACTCGGCTGCAGGGGTTGAGACGTGTGCCCAGTAGCTCTACATTGGTCTTCAAGTAGAACACGTACCTATGCTTGGCTGGCTTCATCTCCAGGTAGAGATAATGGCCGTAGTTGTCGACGGGAAAGCTGCCCGGCTCGTGGACTATAATAAACGGAGGCTTCCGCAAGGTTTGATTCGTCGCCAGGAGGGTCACATTAATGGCCAGCTGTGTGCAAGGGTGAGCAAATAAACCTTTTGTGAGTAGTATGAAGTAGAATAATAAGTTCGATTTTATATGCGAGTATGTTACGAGGCTATTAGCAGTTGGTGAAAAAGACATTTAATTTGCATATAAGCAGTTTTTGAGACCGGAAGTGACTAGATCTGCTAGTCAAGGATATTTTCTACATATGTGCCTGTAAATCTATATGATTTATCGTAGATATGAAAACCAAGATGGTGTGCCCTTCCGTATGGTCGCAGTCCTCTTTAACCTTATGATGTTTATTCGACCTCGCTTATGCAATTTGTTCGGAGCGTCAGGGAGACCTTGTGGAACGTACCTAGTCCCGTGTCCTCTGACACAGTATTCGTGATTTCCAACATTCGACCATTGGCTGGGTACATTCCCAAACTCTTCGCCTGCATCGTTAGTTAGAGGCACCATCGCAAGCTTAAAGTTTCAACTTATCAAAGTGAAAGTGAAAACAATCCCATTGACCAATTTTCTGTTCAACCGTTGTGGATTTTTGCGATTTAACGTCAAAAAAGGGAAGCGGTGCATTTTCGCACAAACGGTTATTACCTAAGCTGGACACAGGGCCCCAAAGAATGAGACACAATGTGTGTGTGTGGGGGGGGGATGAGAAAGAGGATAACTGAATCATGAGTTTGAAGGCTAAAGAGTGGAAGACTCCCAAGCACCGGAATGGGAATGGGCATTGAGGAGCTCCTGGTACCGGTGGTGAAGATGATCACACTTCACTAAACCCACTTGTAGCGGCACACTCTTAGGCGACATTGGAGGAAACGAGAGCATAGAAGTGTGTGAATAAGTGGATGGGTCATATGAAGTAGATGTGAAGACCAAGATGTTGTGGCCACGGGTATGGTCGCAGTCTCCTTTCGACTTATAGAAGTGGGTTGACCTCGTTGTCGCAACTTGGTCTTGTG